TAAGCATGTTGAAATGTGTATTTACAAAGAAATTGAATGGGAAACTTAACACATTTTCCTTCTTTGGGTTTGATACAATGGGATTGTAGAGATAAATGAGTGCCACAAGACACCAGACCCTAGGGGTTGGGGGTCACCATATATTGGACTACTTGAGACGAATGCAAGTGGAGAATCCTTCGTTCTTTTATGCAATTCAAGGTGATAATGACCAGGCCGGTGGAAGCATATTTTGGGCGGATGCTACAGCAAGGATGAACTATACTTACTTTGGTGATACCGTAATATTTGACACAACATATAGGACAAATCGCTACAGGGTGCCATTTGCCTCGTTCACAGGAATCAACCACCATGGGCAGCCAGTGTTGTTTGGATGTGCTCTAATTCTCAACGAGTCCGAGTCCTCGTTTGTGTGGCTATTCCAAACTTGGCTTCATGCAATGTCTAGTCGTCGTCCCATATCTATAACAACCGACCCTGATTGTCTCATACAGATTAGGGATGGCAAACGAGTATAATTTCGTGGATTCTGCACCGCATCCGCTCCAATTGGAGCGGGGATGGGTATAATTTTAGCGGGTAGTGGGCGGGTGTGGATTTATAAAGTGGTACCCGTCGTGGGTGGTGGGCGGGTAACGGGTTTGAGACATTACCCGCCCCGCATCCGCCCGCCCCGCATCCGCCTGCCCCACATCCACCCGCCCATCCAAATATCTATTAAATTTTGGACCATTATGAATTTAAGTGTAATTTTAGAGACTAATTTATAAATTTTAATATTGTATAATATATAACATATAATTTAACCAAATATTAAGGATATTTAGTCTTTAATCTGATCTTTAATTAGGGAAATATTCGGCTCTTTGATTAAACCCATAATCCCACTAACTACGTCACTTTCCATGTTCTTTAGCCCATGCTGCCCATCCAAACACAAATTAACCGTACTATATGCATTAACATCAAAAGCAACAGTTTCCATGTTCTTTAGCCCTTTCAAAACCCATATTAGGCGCACTATGAGCATTAACATCGAAAGCAACTCAACAATCCAGCTCTGCGACTACATGCTCCCTACAATCTGTCTCCATAACATTCATAGAGCCACTCTGAAAAATTGAAGCATGCATTGCTACCCTATCACGGACTATCTGGGAACCAATTCTAACATCCCATTAGTTTGCTGTCAGGCGGGTCTAGATGGGTATGTCGCTAGTGGGTAGTGGGTGTGGGGATGGATTTGAAAATGTACCTGCGTGGGCGGGTGTGGATTTGAAAATTTGTACCCATCATGGGTGGTGGGCAGGTGGTGGATTGAAAAATTTTAGGTGGGTATGGGGATGGGGGAGGAGGGTATCCGCACCCGACCCGCCCGTTTGCATTCCCTAATACAGATGGCTGTTACGCAGGTTCTTCCAGAAGCACGCCTTCGCTTCAATAGATGGAGCATTTTCAAAGAAACCCAAGAGAAGCTGGCTCACATATACCAATCCAATCCTACGTTCGAATTAGAATTTAAGAAATGTGTTGACGAGACTGAGACGATTGACGAGTTCGGGTCATCTTGGTTGTCACTTCTGGAACATTACTGTCATGGATAATGAATGGCTTCAGTCGATGTACAATGCTCGGCAACAGTGGGTCCCTGTTTATATGCGAGATACGTTCTTTGGGAACTTTTCTATAACCGAGAGAAACGGAGGCTTAAACTCATTTTTTGAATGGTTTGTGAATGCATCAACTACCATACAGATGTTGATTAAACAGTATGAGAAAGCCGTAGTGAATTGGCACGAGAAAGAGTTGAAAGCTGATTATGACACAACCAACACTTCACCGGTTCTTAAGACACCATCTCCCATGGAAAAACAAGCGGCTAATCTCTATACAAGAAGAATTTTCATGAAGTTCCAAGAAGAGCTAGTTGAGACCCTTGCTAATCCTGCCACTAAAATTGATGACTCAGGAACTGTCGCAACATATCGGGTGGCCAAATTTAGGGAAGAGCACAAAGCACACACCGTTAGTTTTACCTCCTTTGAGATGAAAGCTAATTGCAGCTGCCAAATGTTTGAACATTCTGGGATAATATGCAGGCACATATTAGCAGTTTTCAGGGCAAAAAATGTTCTTACGCTGCCTTCGCAATATGTACTAAAGCGATGGACGAGAAATGCCAAAATTGGAGATGTGCAGGATGAACATGCTTCTGATTTGCCAAATAATTCTCGTGAGTCCTTAACAGATCGGTATAACATCCTACGCCAAGAAGCTATTAAGTACGTTGAAGAAGGGGCAAAATCTATTCATGTTTACAACCTGGCAATGGATGCTTTACAAGAGGCACTGAAAAAGGTTAGTTCTGCAAAAAACCAAAGCCTTATATCTGCAGAAGATGGAGCACTTAGCAATGGACGTAATCAAGAGTTGCATGTGGCTGGAAATACTGAGACAATGGCATGCCAATCTGTGGTCAGTTTCTCCTACTTTAGCACTTTACCTAGCTTGTTAATGCCCCCTGTTATGAAGCTTCTCGAAAGGACTATATAGATAATTCATCTCGATAGTTGATGAAATTACTTGATGGTTCTTTCTAGGGGAAACAAAGAACGGGAATCTGACCTGTTTAAAACAAATCCTAAAGTTGTTGAATGTAGGAGTTAACCGTTTTAGAAGCAGGCTTACTTATCTTTCGTATTGAGGTTCTGAACTATTCTTACATATGTTTTCGTCCGCTTAATCTCAAATTAGGTAGTTGCATTTAGGGTTTGGTCGGTTAATGAGTGTTGATTCATTCAATCTTGGTCTTTTGTTGGTATATTCTTCGAGTCATCAACAATACTCATCTGATAATAACAGTGGTACTGTACCAACATGACTCTAATCAAACTTTTACACAACTGCCTCATTGATTCGAGTCAGTATGTATGTAATGTGTATATATAGTGCACTCTCTTTTTCGAGAGGATTGATCACAACCAACCTGACCGTAATCTTTTTCTGTTTGGGAGGAACTGACTAGAGAACCTTCTACTTCTAATACGACCTAAACTAGATTGTAATCATTCTCGACAAACACATAAAAAGCGCTTCCATATTTTTCGTTGGATCCGGGTAAAAACCAAAGGTATTGAGTGGTAGATCAGGCAGAACAACACAAAAGTTCAAGTATTATTACTTATTCATGCCCATTCCTAGCTCGAATAACCATATTTACAAATATGTATCTTGTTTGTTACTGATTTCTGAACATAGAAATTAAATGCATAGTTCATTTCTGATATAACGTAGAGAATAGGTTCACGAGAAACAATCTCGGATGTGTGTTGCCATCACCATTTTGTTGTCCTTTTTTATGATTAAAATTCATGCTACTTTCCTATTGTTTTGTCAAACAGGACAAGAAGGAAAAGAAAATCCAGGAATTGTCGACGGAGTTGGAGAGCATAAACCGGCGATGCGAAGTGTACAGAGCGAACCTGCTGGCGGTGTTGAGGGACATGGAAGAACAGAAGTTGAAGCTGTCTGTTAAAGTTCAAAATGCAAGGCTTAATTTGCGAGAGTGAGTGTAACGAGTAAAAGAAATGTTGTGAAGACGAGTGTTTTGATAGTATTTTCTTTTAGCTTCTTAGACGATTTAGCAAAGAATTTGATCAAATGGCTGATTATATTCATTTGCCAATGTAGTTTCAATTGTATGAAATAATATATATTAGGATAAGAATAACTTTCTAGTTATTTTTTAAAGGTAAAATGGTGTATGAAGTCCTTAAACTTTTGAAAAGAAATTAGTAAAGCCCTTTACTTTTTTTTGTACTCAATTGAAGTTTTAAATTGAGAAATTAAATTATTTAACTCATCGAATCGAAAAATTGAATCAATTAAGATTTTGAACAATTATACTTGTTTTAATAATTACTTTAAAAGATGTTATTGCCACATTACACACCGAGATTCTATAACGTCAATTTTACAGATTTTTTAAATAAAAAACTTATTAAAGTTTTAAAATAATCTTAGAAAATTCTGAAGGTTAATATATTATTTTAGAAATGTCACTTGAAAATATTGTGACGTGAGATAGATAAAAATTTTGTTATATTTATGGTCAATATTGGTTAAAAGTGTGAATTAATAAATTTTGAAGTTTAGAAATTTAATTGAATGTGAAAAAATCATGAGTTAATTGATTTTTTTCACAAATTCAAAAAGTTCCGTCTTAGTTAATTTACTAGTATGATTTAACCTTAGTTAATTTTTCGTTTCAATTATAAAATTGATATTATTAACATGAAATTTAATGATAATAGAGATAAATAAGAAATAATATCTTTTAAAATATTAAAATATTTTTAATGAATGCACAAACCAACTTACTTAAGTGGTTAATGAAATCATTGTTATTCTTAGAGGTCACGAGTTCAAGCACCAATGATTGTAAGAATAATTGAGCAATTTCATTATCAAATGGTCAAGAGTATTTGAAATAGATTCTACTTTGTAATCTCATTAACTTACTCAAAAATATTTTTAATAAAATGATTCGAAGTTATTTTCATGTTACGATTCAATCCGAACAAAAAACAATTATTTACAAAACGTTACTTTGCACATATAGATGGACTTAATATTGTTGTTGGGTTTGGTCTCAAGCCCATTAAGACAGTCAAGGGTTAACATTCCATTTGGATGGTTTTAGTTTAGGTGAAATTTTACCTCAATCAGTACCTCTTTTGTTTGTTTTGTAGTTCAGCTGTTCAAGCTTCATTTTTTCTTTTCTTTTTTTAATAAAATTCAAAACCCGGGGTCCAGGCCGAGCCAACGAGTGCCTAACCCAAGGGATCAACTCGCAGTTGAGTCCCTGACTCGCTCCTTCCAACGAATACATCAAGTGAGTTCCTTTCTCCGTGTTGTTTAGGGTTCATTAATATCGTAACCTCTTTGGGTTTATGTTTTGTACATTTGTTTTTTTTTCATGTTTTTTTTCTTTGCAGGTATCAAGAGAGAAAAAAAACCTTTTTTTTCTTGTTTAGAAGTTTTTGTTTTGAGGGTAACCCAGAAAGCAAGGGATGAATGTGAGTATAATCAAAGTTGTTTCTTTTATGTTGTATTGTAAATGAGATCAGAAATGAGTTTTTTTTTGTGTGTTTGTGTGTGTGTCATTGGCTTTTTTGTTGAAAGAAAAGTGTTCTTTTTTCTTTCTGTTTTCTCCATTTTTGGTGTTTAGGAACCTGAGAAGATGGCTGGTAGTGTTGGTGAGGCTATAATGGATGATTCCAAGCCTGTTATGGAAGAAACTGGAACTGTTGTTGATGTTGCTAATGCTGAGGCTGAAGCTGAAGTTCAGGCTCCAATGGAGGCCGAGGCCGGAGCTGGTGAAGTGAAAGGCCAAGTTCAAGTTGAAGAACCGACAACTCTCGAAGAAGATGATGGAAAATCGCAGGCCAAGCCAGTTGGTGACAACCCGGATTCAGTCGAACAACAACCACAAGCCATTGAAGACACCGGCAAAACTCTCAATGTCGACAATACCGGTGCTCGAACTGAGGAAAAATCGAAGCCTGAGGAGAGTATTGATGTTGAATTTAAGGATGTCGAGGACAAATCTTTGGTCGAAACTGATGCCAAGATGGATGATGTTGGACATGATGATAATGATGATTGTGGTGATGGTCCCATTAATTCACATGATAATGGACTTAGTGGAAGCCCCAACTCTGACATGAAACCCCAAGATGATCGTGATGACCATGTCATCGACAATGGGGAGCCATTGAAGGATTTGCCTACAGGAAGAGAGATTAATACCCCATTGTCTTTGTCCAACCCTAATTTATGCTTTGACAACTCGGGGTCAGACACCGAGGAGGAGCAAGCAGCTTTTGTGAAGGAGGTTGAAGCTTTTTACAAGGAGAATAACCTCGAATTTAAGCACCCTAAGTTTTACAAGGAGGATCTTAATTTGCTAAAGTAAGCCCTTCGAGTTATCGAGTTTATGCAAAATGTTTCTTTCTCCTTCGAAAACAAAACCTTCGTGCTAACCCATCTTCACTATTTTCCCTTGACTAAAGGTTATGGAGAGCTGTCATTAAATTGGGAGGCTATGAACAGGTTTGCCTTAAGTTCTGAAAACTATCTCTGCCAAAATTTCCTACAATTTCATAACACGCCTGTACAAAGGATGACCGGTTTAATTGCACAAAAGCTAGAATGGCACATTATAATTTATATGAATCTTTAAATTTTTGGTAATGTGGTTTTCGTGATTCTGATTCCCTACTATATGCAGAATGTACAAACTTTTTCTTGTCCTTGACATTGAATTGTAGTTATTTGGATTTGATGAAACCGGTAATATGCGATTAGTTTAGTTTTCTTGTTTATTTATGATGATCAAGAAAAGATTCTTTCATTTATGGGTAACAATACGACTGAGTTATGGACTTGCCTTTTTAACCAGGCCGTGTTCTTTGCAGGTAACCTCATGCAAATTGTGGAGGCAAGTAGGCGAATCATTTAATCCCCCGAAGTAAGGATAACATCTACTTTCCTGTTGATGTCTGTCTTCTAGCATACCGAACAATTTTTGGGGTTTAAAAATTAAATCTGCTAGCTCTTTTTTTATAGTTATGACTAAATTTTGTTAACGAGGCACATTTATTATTTGTTCCTTTGGCGTAGGACCTGCACCACTGTGTCGTGGACATTCCGTATCTTTTATGAGAAGGTTTTGCTCTAACTGTTAATTTCTCTCTTTTTATTGAAAGAACACATACCATCTGATTTAAGGGCATAAGGCCATAACCACGAGACCGACCTCCATCAACACTAAATTTTTGTTTTCTTTATTTGTTATTTTAACATGTGGTTCACCTGTAATTTGGTTCCATAAATTTATCAGGCACTGCTCGAGTATGAAAAGCATAAAATACATGGTGGCATGCTCCCTCACTCGGATGCTCCCTTTATTGAGCCTAATGGAGTTGAAACTAAGGTAAATATGCTTGCTGATCAGCTTCAACATGAATGTTGCTTGTTACATCCATGTTTTATGTTTATCTTGTTTTCTTTCATATAATATTTACGACTTCCCACAATGAACAATCGAGATTTTGGCTATCACGTGTAAGAATTGCCTTCTTTTGAAATGATAATAACTTTCCAAGACAATGTGCATCTTGTAATAAAAATGCTGCAATTAAAGTAACCGGTGGTGCCTTGGTAAGAGAAAGGAATCATGGAGGTAGATCTTCCCTAGAAGGTATGATTTACCTTTCCATAACACGTGTTGTATCTATGGTAATAGAAATTGTTAAGAAGGAATCGAAGATTTAGGCGCTTTCACAATTAATAGAAAGACTTCTCTACATATGGTTCTAAGCTGCAAAGGGGTATCATAATATGTGATTATATGCAACTCGTATGTGTTTTGACAGCTATATTGGCTTGTGCAACGATACGATAGATAAATCCGGTTTTGCACAAAATGACAAATTAGATGGTTATTGGGTGTCCTTAATCCGAATCATATACTTAGTAATATGATTGGAATTTGGCTTGATAAATATTTATCATAATCCTATATATGTGTGTATATATATATATATATATATATATATCCAAATAATTTCTATTAATCTTTTGTAGGCTGGCAGTAATCAAGCTCCTGGGTCAGGTAGGGCAAAGAGAGATGCTGCTGCACGCGCCATGCGAAGCTGGCATTCTCAGCGTGTTCTCGATAACGGTGAGGTCTGTCATCCAATCATCAAGGTTTGTGGAGACCTAAGCTATATGCATTTACTGTGTTGATTAATCTTTTCTCATTTTCCCTTTTCTTCTGCCCTGATCTTGCCTTCTTTATGCAATGTTTTCGAATTTTCTAGGACAAGACCACTAATCCAACACTCAAAAGTGACAGACAACTTAAAAATTTTGGTATTTCTAATATGCTTGGCCTAGCACATTCATCTACCACAATGCCCAAAATTATCTTTATTTATAAGACTCTTATTGTCTCAGGTTTATTAAAGCGTAAAAGGCCATCCACCATGGAGCCTGGTGCCCGAGTTTCTCAACTTAAATTGACTAAACTACAGTTACGATTGCCGGTTACTTATTCCTGCCCGCCACCCTCTTTTATTATGTATATGAAACAGTATCTTGACTTTTCAAAGTGCCGGAACTAGGCATTCTTTTGGCAGGTTGGATACTATGATTGTCGATATCGGTGCCCCAGCTGATTGGGTGAAGGTTAACGTGCAAAAAACTGTAAGTCTCTCTTGTGTTATTCTTACGATAATGTGATACATCATTGTATATGACTCTCTATCTGGCCCTCACAGGTTGACTGCTTCGAGGTATACGCTTTGGTTCCTGGGCTTCTCCGGGAGGAGGTTCGTATATCTTTAGATAATTCTCTGTTTCGTTTTTAGTATTTTGCTTTCTAAGTTGCATGTCTTTAATAGGTAAAGCTTACTTGGAAGATACTTTTTGTTCTAGATGATGGACTATTTACTTTTCTACAATGGAACTTTTAATAGGAAATCTGTTTCTATGCTCGAGTGATTTACTTTCCGGTCATCGACCAAAGGAAGTAAAGCCGAAGGAATAATATCGAGAGACTTAAGGCCTGTCCAAATAAGCCGATATATACTTAGGTCAACCACTTAGGTTGTTAGTAGAGTTCTTAATGTGCTGAGTTTGCATTAGGCTAGCCATTATACATGCTCTACGGGAGCACGATATTTTTGGTAAATTTACAGGATCGGTACTTGCTAAGTAGATTAATCTCAAGATCTCTATCTTTTTCGCTACTATTCGTAATTTAGTACAGAAGAGGACCCAATAATACTTGCGTAATAGCTGGATCCATTTTCCTTTTTCTTCCCATAGATTGTATTTGATTTTTGTTGATGGATTTCCATATGTGCTTAAATGAATCAGGTGCATGTTCAGTCTGATCCAGCAGGACGCTTGGTTATATCCGGTCAACCGAAGCAACTCGATAATCCTTGGGGTGTCACGCCCTTCAAAAAGGTTAGACCAAGTCGATGAAATTTCAATTTACTGTAGCCATCTATCATCGGTTTCAATATCGTGGCATGACGATTAGGTGAGTGCCAATTCTCCCGAACAACCATTTTTCGTGTGCATTAACGATATGCAATTCGTGTCCAGGTCGTCAGCCTGCCATCAAGAATTGATCCTCGTCAGACGTCGGCCGTGGTTACCCTGCATGGTCAGTTGTTCGTACGAGTCCCGTATGAGACGCCCGACGTATAAGATTAAATTGTAGGGTTAGTTGTCGATTTAGCAGTTATAAAAAGGTAAAATAACTTTTTTAGTTCTTTATGTTTACAGTTTTTATCGATTTAATCACTCGAACAATGACCACTATCCACTGTTTACAGTTGATTTAGCAGTTTGTATCCATTTGATAACTCTTTTTAGCAGTTTTTATTGATCTACAAGTTGATTTGTGGGTTGATTAGGATCAGTTTCCAGCCGATTGAAGAACAATATAAAAATAAATTTGTTTTATTTAAATTTAAATGATGTAATTAAAGGTGAAAATAAAGACTTAAAGGTTGATTCTTTTTGTTTTATTTTTAAATGATGACTTTAATGATATAAAGAATTAAGGGTCAAATTAATAAAAAAGTATAAATTTAGGGGGCTGAAAAATATTTTTTTTAATTTTTTATAGTTTTCAATAGAAGTTGGGGAAAGAATTAAGATTTGTAGAATAAAAATAGTATAAGGACTTAATATTGCATAGTTGTAAAATTGAAGTATAAGAATTAAATTGTATGCATTGTAATAGTGTAAGGATCGTTTACATATTTAAACCATTCAGTTTGGTTTATGACCCCTTCTACTTAAAAAAATTGGTTAAATTTTTTCATCAGTCATTTTATTATGCTTAAATTATGAAATTATGTCCTTGTATTGGATTTCATTTTTTTTGTTCCTATACTTTTCAATTTTGAAATTTTATTTATGATTCCAATAATAACAATTAAATTTATTAAATCAAATTCTATTATCAATTATGGTGATATGCCTAAGTTAAAGATGTAGTTTCTGTTCAATTTGATTATTTTGAATTCTTTTAATTTAGTCATATTAATTGTATATTATTTTAGTTAGGATTGAAATTATAAAATTTTAAAAATATAATAATTATATTCAATTAAATTAAAATATAGATACTAAATTTACAAATTATACAATCAAATTAAAATATAGGGAATAAATTCACAACTTATACATAATAAATGGACAAATGATCACATTTGACAAAAATAAACCAAAAAAATCAATTCCAATTTTCGAAGGGGGCTAAATTAAAATTTCAAAAATATTTTAAAGGTACAATGTAAATTTCCCAAAACTTTGAGTGTGCCACTTCAGTTTCTTCGTTCTCAAGGGAATGAAAAACCAGACTTGTCGGAAGAGGCGGTACCTCCGAGGGAATTGATACCGCCAGGATTGAGGGCCATCCACAGCAACGAGATGATAATGGAGATAAGACCGGACCAGACGAATACAATGGTGGGTGTCTTCCGCTGCCGACCCGTCAACCCTTTAGCGAAAGGATACAAATGACACAACACCCAGGAAGCAAAGAATGCACCTCCGATGAACATGTTCCATTTTCCGGTACCGAACAGTGTCCTCGCGAAGGCGATGACCAATGCAACGATGTTAACCAAGGCGATAACGATGGGTGGGATCATCAACGAAGTCCATTTCACCAAGTACAGATCGGCATATATGTCGTCTTCGTCTTCACCAGCGGATTTGGACGTTAAAGTGAAAGAAATTTCGATGCCGGCAATGACTTTTAATAGACCTTGAATGCATGCAGCGAAATGAGAACTTGTACCGGAAATGAGCCAAAACTGTTCGTTTCTCCACCATTCTTCTAAGCCGATGCCTGCCCATCGAACCTCGAGGAGTGCCAAGCCGATAAGGCAAAACGTGATGATCATGAGGTAAACCAAGAACCAGATATTAAGTTCTTGGACGATGAACTGACCGGAGATGAGTGACAGTGCGGGGAGGAAGCAATAAACGATGAGGAAAAACGAAGTGAAAGGGTATATTCCGACGTTTAAATAAGCCAGTCGTTGAAGGAATTTGAGCTTCGTGGTGGCGAGCAAGGCGTTATTTCTGGAGAAAAAGATCTCGACGGAGCCCGTCGCCCATCGGAGCACCTGGTGGAGTCTGTCTGTAAGGTTGATTGGTGCTGAACCACGAAAGGCGTCACGCTTGGTGATGCAATAAACCGACCGCCAACCGCGGTTGTGCATACGGAAGCCCGTCACCACGTCTTCCGTGACCGAACCGTAAATCCACCCTACTCGTTCACCCCATTCCGTCTTGTCCTCGTACCTTGTCGGAGATGGAATTCGAATAATTTTATGTCCATATCATTTCGATTTATATTTAGTTTCGAATTTAGATCATTTTAAGTTCGATAAATCATTATCATATGTGGTACCAATATGTTTAAATAAGCACGTACCAGCAAGCAATAACGGAAACAGCTTCGGCAACGGTGACGGCATCGAGTGGTTCACGAGGGACCCTGAGAGCACCAGGAGGCCTTCCAAATTTGATAGCGGGATGATCGGCAAGTGGTCGACCTTGGAACTCGGCGACCGGTATCGATTCCGACAGCAACGTGGAATTCCCGAATCGCTTCGGCAATAAGTTCACATCCAAATTAGGATCAAAATCACTAGTCGTCAATGGTTGCGTTTCGGTCTCTTTGGCCACTGTCATCCTATCAGGATTCGGAGGATCGAATGCATACAAAGCAAATCGCCTGAACATACAACCAGTTCCCACATAAACTGGCCCTTGCACACCGTCGAGTGCACGCATATTGCCGTCGAAAAACACGGTGTTGTGATTTGCATAACGGTCCGAGGGATCGATCCCTTCAAATCTTTGAGGGAACTGAATGTAGCAGATGTCTTCGCCACCTTGATCCATCATAAAACACATCCCTTCTCGAATAGCTTTGCAATTGTTTATATAGTGATCACAATCGAGGTTGAGGATGAACGGACCGTTCGACAAAATGGCCGATGCTCGCACCAAGGCATTCATGGCACCAGCTTTCTTGTTATGATCATACCCCGAACGCTTCTCTCGTGACATATAGACAAACATCGGAAGCCGAATGTCTACATTGGTGTAATCAACGAGCTTATCTTCACTATTTCCTGTAAGTGTATCGAAGCTCGGTGGCTTCAACATCACTTGTAGGATCCCGGCATGGTCTCCCTTCGAGTGTTCCTTGGATGGATTGCCCCAAGTCCCAGGCCAATGTGTGCCATCAGCCATCCATGTTGCCTTTTGGATCTTAGGCCTCTCCATGGGGTTAGCTCCAGTTTCCCTAATGTGTTTCAACATCTTCATTTCTTCCCTTGCATTGAACGCCTCCGATCGCCTTCGGATCGCGTCGGGGAGCCCGTTGATCCTCACTTTGAACTCTTCGTACTCCCTCTTCACCTTTCTTCGATCCTTAACGAAGTCGGGCCTACTCTTGCCTTTAGTAGAATCACCTTTTAAATTGAAGTATGTGTCCGGGTTCCTCGGCTCGATATCGTGTTTCTTACAAAATGGAACCCATAAATCGGCGAAACTGCAGGCTTCAGCCATCGCTTCGAAGGTGAGGAGGGCACCACCGTCGTCGGAGATGTAACACGCCACCTTTTCCACGGGATAATCAACTGCTAAAATAGAAAGGATGGTGTTGGCAGTGGTGAAAGGTGGTTCCTTCTCCGGATCAGCAGTCGATACAAAAAAGTCGATTCCCGGGAGATCCGAACAGCCGATTGGATTCGACGGTGATGGTAAATCGAACTTTTCTCGCAGGACATCGAGATCTGTCGAACGATTGATCGGACACAATTTAGGAATCTGATCAAGGATCCAGGAGAAGGCAAACCATACTTCACATATGATCGACATTAGCCACAACCATATCGCATTATTATTTGGATTGACAATTCTCCAATGTAGGAAAAACCCTAGCACCACCAATCGGATGAAAATCAATAACCTACATACCAAAATCAATTAATTTATTTGAATTAAAAAATTTAGAGTTGAGTCGAGTTGAGTTAAACAAAATTAAATTAAATTTAAGTTAAACTATATTGATGGTCACTGAATTTTTAGAACGTTTTCACTTTGATTACGAAACTCTTAAAATTTACATTATAATCATTAAATTTCTAATTCATTTTCATTAGTGACTATTGTTAGTTGATGCTAAGGGAAACCTAATGTTTCATGTTAAATTATTATTCTCTAAAAAATCTCAAGGTTTCAAATTGACATCCACGGCAAAGATCAAGTTTCAATAAACATAGCGGTTGTCAATTAATCCCAACAGTGAAAACGTTCCATTTGACTAAAAGATAAACATAGTTTAGTTTTAAGTTGATCTAACGGTTGATAATGAAGGATTGAAAAGTTTTATCTTTTAGTTCGATTAGGATTTGAGGAGATTGAAAGGTTTTTCGACAAGTTTAAATTGAAAGAAAGAAAGAAAAATATGAGAAGTTCAACGATTTTTTTGGACATGAGAAACCTCCAAACAATGGTAGAAACAACAATGAAAGGAGAGAAGGTTGCCTGGTTTCTAGAGTTTTTTAATGTGTCACGCCAATGTCATTAATGGTTTAACGATCCAATGACCGAATTGAAAGTTTTTCTTAACCACAATAACTAATGAAAAATTTTCAACTTTGGTGATCAAAATAAAAGCTCCCTAAAAAGTCTAGTGACTATTAGTAAAGTTTACGCTTAAATTTATATTATACCTGTAAGGGCTAATGATGTTGGTTTCGATGGGAATTACACGACTTAAGGGCTTCCAAGGCTTATCATTGGTCTCCAAGTCCCCTTGGAGTCTATCATCACCACCATCACCATCGTCATCACGAAAAGCATTGCCATATCCATAAGTACCACTTGTCTCGAACAACCATCGATTGTGATCGAAGTCTCCTCCTTGATTTCGTTTCGTCATAGGCATGTTGTTAGCATCTCTTTTCCTGTTCACAGCCGATAATTTCAACGTTCCGTTTGAATATTCCACCTCATCGTCATAGTCCCCGGCCTTGTACGGTTCCTTGCAACCGGGGCACATGCCATTGCCCTTTTGAGCATCCATGAAACAATCTCTACATATTTTGAACCTATAGGAGAAACATATAATAATGTCATGTACGAGTCATCAACAATATAGGCCTCAATAGTTTGTTAATATGTGTGTATATACCTACAGGCGCATGGCGTTATATCGTTCCCACGTTCATCCTTCAAGACTTTACCGTCGCAAGCGGGCATGCCACACGACGCGCCCTTCGCGCCCGCCATCTGGGGATGCGTAACATCCGAATCGATCACCTTATCCATCAAATGCGCCCGCGTAACACTATTGAAACCGCCGGTAAATAACGAGTTTGAAATGTATTGTTCCTCGGCCTTGGTGGCCACCGAATTCTCCGTCGGCTGATTATCGGGCGTCGGCGGGATATGCACGGTGTAATTCATGTAGTCCCTCGACTGGACCTCCGACATATCCAGGTCTTCCCTCGACAAACTAATGTACCGTCCGCTCGATGTCCGCCGAGCATATTTCATCTGCTGCCCAGCCGAATTTCCCTTATTCGATTTTTGGGATGACACTGACATTGTTGATTAAACTTTTAAAAAAATGTAAAAAGGAAATTACCTTTCCCTTGTCAATGTTACCATAGCATTAATGATAAGGAAGGGGACTCAATCCTGACCATTGAAAAACTTGTGTCATTTCTACAAATATGTCCACCAAATGTTGGGACCAAACTTGCAAGTCCGAGGTTTGATGGTCTGTTTCACGACTTTGGTGGAGATTCTTTGTCTTAGAAGATTTTGGTCATTTTTATGAGGGTTAATAGCTTAAATGCCCCCTGAAGTTTACCGAATTTGTTAATATATATGAATTTGTTCAATGTGCCCCTGAAGTTAACGCCGTTAACTGCATACGTTGCAGGACATGTGGCAAAGTCCTAAGCTTCCACATGGTGTATTGGGTCAAAAAAGTCGATAAAAGTATACTCCAAGGGCATCCAAGTTAACTGCCCTTTTATATATGAAGTCAAATAAAAAGGGCAATTTGCTTGTATGCCCTTGAGGTAGACTTTTATTGACCTGATATTCCACATGGAAGTTTAGGAGTGTGCCACGTGTCCTGTCATATCCGCAGTTAACGACCTTAGTCTTTGAGGGCAACACAGAACACCGAAGAAAAATTCATGGACACATTGAATTCACGCTTAGAAAGTACCGGTCCCTCATTAATAAATTTGATAAACTTTAGTGGAGTACATTTTACTAACAAACGGTCATATTCTCTGAAGGCGCACGATACGCTTTGCCTAGGCGCAAGTTAGCTGGACTAACGATACCTAGATTTCTCCGTCGCGTCGCGTTCGCCGGTGACCCTCTATCCGTCACATTTCCTCCACGAGTCTTCCTCACTCAATCGGCTTTTCCATGGATTGGCAAAAGCTTTTCGGATGTCAAGCGGGGCAAGAACTGTCGTATTTTCCCCCAAAATCAAAGGATAAAATCCCTATTGTACAACCCCCACAAGAAGTTCTCGAGGCTGGCTCTGCAGAATGGTCTTCTTCTCTCGTTGGCCAGATACTAGGTGCTGCTCCAAAATTCATCCATCTGCAAAGTATCATCGAGAACCTCTGGAATCAGCCTTCGCAAGGGGTTAGGGTTCAGGTAAGTATCGCTGGCAACAACCTGTATGTTTTCAATTTCAACTCTGTTAATGCTCGGGACTGGGTTCTTGAAAATGGCCCATGGCATGTTCTTAATAAACCTCTAATCCTACGAAAGTGGGAACCAAATTTGCATAATCTTGAATTTGGTTTAACTCGTCTGCCTATTTGGGTGCACTTGTTTAATGTCCCTTTAGAACTATTCTCTAGAGAAGGCCTTAGCTATATAGCTAGTGCCTTAGGAATACCTTTGACTATGGACTCGTTTACTGCTAACAAATCCAGACTTAATTTTGCTAAGGTCTGTATAGAGGTAGGTGCACAGGAGAAAATACCAGAATCTATAGAGGTTGTTCTTGCTAATGGAATATCCACTACTATCAACGTTGATGTTCCTTGGTTCCCTCCTAGATGTACTAACTGCAAAACCTTTGGCCATTCAGAAAAAGGCTGCTTAAACAATCCTATTCTTGCTCCCCAAACTTCGAAAATATGGAGAAAAAAGAATGAAATCCTTGCTCCTAAATCTACAGAAACAGTAGAAGAACAACATGCCTCAGAGTCAAAACCATCCTCCTCTAGAGCTAATAATGAACTAAATAAACTAGAGACGGAGAAAGTTTTAAAACCAATTCTTCCTTCCAATTCGAACCTGTTACCTAAGGGTGATACAATGACAGAACCTTCCTCCTCCAGCGCTAACAATGATCTTAATAAACTAGAGTCAGGGAAAGATTCAAACTCAACTCTTCCTCACAATCCGAATCTATTTTCTAATGTCGATCTTTCTGATTCGCAAGCAGTTGAAGAAAATGAACTAAATCCGCCTCCTTGCGAATTTTCTTCTCAAGTGGAAACTATCAAAGAAACTGGGTCTCCTGCTCTCCCTAAACGAGGTAGAGGTCGACCTATTAAAGTTAATTCTAAAACTGTGATGAGAGGCACAACAAACAGATTTGATATTCTTTCCACTGTTGATGAGAGTCCTTCATTAAACGAGGTACAAGTTAAAAAACAAAGACCTGCTGCTGCTGGAGTTGCAAAACTGATCAAGGAACTAAAATTGAAAAAGAAAGAACAAATTTCTAAGTTCACTAGTACCTCAGAAGTAGCCTTAGAGGACCAAAACTCCCCCACTCCCCAATGATTATCTGCTTTTGGAATATCAGAGGATTTAACAATCCTCAAAAACAGAAAAAAGTTCTCAACAGAGCAAATCTTTACAATGTTGATGTCTTATGCCTGTTAGAAACTCGTGTCAAAGCTGAAAACTCTAATAAAATCTAAAACTCTACTTTTGCGAGCTGGAATGCCTTTACTAACTACGATTTTGCTTCCAATGGTAGAATCTGGTTCCTTTGGAAGAAAGGTATTGATATTTCTTTTTGCCACTCTTCTGCCCAAAGTATCACTGTCAATTGCTCTTTTAATAACTATCCGTTTATCATCACTACGGTCTACGGCAGTAATTGTGGTATTACCCGTAGAATTCTTTGGCAAACTCTTAGAGATATTGATCATAAGTTTGGCTATCTTCCTTGGATCCTAGGAGGGGATTTCAATACCTTTCTTGACTCCAAAGAAAGTACTGACTTCGATCTCTTAGGTCCCTATCTTTCTTCTGATATGATTGATTTCCAAAATGCTATTCAAGATATTTCCTTACAAGACCACCCTTTTTTTGGTCCAACTTTTACTTGGAGCAACAAACAAAGAGATTCTTTCCTTGCAAGGAAACTTGATAGAGTTCTTATAAACTCTCCTTGGGCTACCATTTTTCAGAATTCTTTTGTTGAATTCACTGCCCCTGGACCTTCAGATCACTGTATGGGTCTTGCATGGATCAACAAACAGAGTCAAATCAATAAACCCAAACCTTTTAAATTTTTTAACTTCTGGTCCACCCACACTAACTTTCTTGAAGTTGTCCATCAGTCTTGGCAACATCCTTCCTACGGCAACCCTATGCAGAAATTATTTACTAAACTCAAACGTCTTAAACCCTATTTGCAGAAGCTTAACCAAGATCATTATAGTAATATTTCTGCTAGGGTAAATCAAAAGAAGTTGGAGTTGGAACAAATTCAGATTGAAACTCTTAAAGGCTCCATCTCAATTGATAAAGAATTGATAGCTCAAAAGGAGCTGAAGGTTTTAGAGGACAATGAGCATATGTTCCTCAAACAGAAATCTAAAATGCAATGGATTAAAGATGGTGATAATTGCACTAAATTTTTCCATTCTGCCATAGCCTCTAAAAACAAGAGAGATACCATCAGAGTTCTTGTTAACAATGATGGTAAAAGGCTTGATTCTTATGATGATATGACTTCTGAAATAATTGGGTTCTTCAAACAACAATTAGGTACGTCCGATCCTAAAGTTCATAATACTAATCCTGTCTACCTAAAAAACCTGCTCCAAGTAAATTTACCCAGTGATACTGTTTCTGATCTTATCAAAACTGTCACTACTGATGAGATTAAAGAGGCATTATTTAGCCAAGGAAATGATAAAGCTCCTGGCCCTGATGGTTACACCCCTATGTTTTTTAAAAAATCTTGGACTATAACAGGAGAGGATGTCATTAACGCTATTAATTACTTCTTTAAAGAGGCTCACATAAGCCCGGCTTTCAACTCCACAATAATTGCTTTGATTCCAAAAATTCCTAACCCCAATAAAGTCAATGACTATAGACCTATCTCTTTTTGCTCAGTGATTTATAAAATTGTCACTAAAATTCTTGTCAAAAGATTAAATTTACTGTTGCCTGATCTTATATCTCTAAATCAAACAGCTTTTGTGAAAGGCAGATCGATTCTCGATAACACCCTTCTTGCTCAAGAATTAGTGAAAGGTTACGGTAGAAAAAACATTTCCCCTAGGTGTGCCCTTAAAATTGACCTACATAAAGCCTTTGATTCCCTTCACTGGAATTTTCTTTCTTCTGTTCTTAATGCTATAGGGTTGCCTCTCACGTTTATAAAGTGGATCGAAGATTGTTTCACAGGAGCTAGGTATTCCATCTCCTTCAATGGGAGTTTGATAGGATACTTTAAGGGTCAAAGAGGCATAAGACAAGGTGATCCCTTATCACCAATCTTATTTGTTCTTGCAATGAATATTCTCTCAAATTTACTTAACATTGCTGCCAAAAGAGAAATATTCGACTTTCACCCTAAATGCAAAAAAATTGGCATTACTCACCTATCATTTGCTGATGATCTCTTAATTTTTTGCAAAGGAAACCTTGAGTCTATTGTTGGTGTTAAGACTGTCCTAAATCACTTCTATGATCTGTCTGGATTAAAGCTTAACATAAGCAAGACATAATTGTTTTCTGCCGGAATTCCATCTAGAAACCTGGATAACATCATATTTGCTACAGGTTTCAAACATGGTTATCTACCTGTTAGATACCTTGGTGTTCCTCTTGTTACTAGAAAGTTAACCGAAAAAGATTGTCTCCCTCTTCTTGATAATATCAAACATAGGCTTCATCAATGGTCTGGGAAACTTCTTAGTTATGCAGGTAGACTTGAGCTGATTAAAACTGTCCTACACAGTGTGATTAACTATTGGACTAGACAGTTTTTATTGCCACAGAAAGTTCTTAAACGACTGGACCAACTCTGCTCCAGATTCCTTTGGAAATGTTCAGATACAGCTGCTACTGGAGCAAGAATCGGTTGGGAAAAATTATGCTGCCCTAAATCTGAAGGTGGTCTAGGCTTAAAAGACCTCAAATCTTGGAATAAAACCTGCATGGTTCATCTCATTCGTAAAATTCTCGCAGGAACAGGTTCTTTGTGGGTTGCATGGATTCATTGCTATGTGCTTAAAGGTAGTAACTTCAATGATGTCAATGATAGCTCTTCATATAGCTGGTGTTTCAGGAAACTGATTAATCTTAGAAGTGAAGTACTACCTATCCTTAGCACTAGAATTTCGAAGACCAGAGACTTATGGGAGGAAATGAGAGATCATAAAGCTAAGGTACCATGGCACAAAGTAATATGGTACCCACTTCACATCCCAAAATTGAGTATTATTTCATGGATGGCTATTTTGGATCGTCTTCCTACTAGGGACAGACTCTCTAGAATAGGTATTGCTTCAGATGATTCTTGTATCCTTTGTCTTGACTCGGCAGAAACTCGAAACCACTTGTTCATCGATTGTTCTTTTGCTACTACTCTGTGGAACTCTATCATGCGTCTCAACAATATGCACAACACGCACAACACTTGGGATTCAAGGATTTGTTGGGCTTCTCATCACTGGAAAGGTAAATCTCTTCTCAACATCATTCAGAAACTTTCTTGGACAGCTTACATATACACGATCTGGGATGAAAGGAATAGACGAATCTTCAAAAGAGAATCAAGATCACCTGATCAAGTCCTAAAGACCATTAAGGATCTTGTTCGAATCAAACTCAGTGATAGAAATTTCAATAGAGCTTATTATGTCAATGTAAATTTATGTAATTATTGGGGTATTGAGTGAATATTTTTGTTGTAAGTAGGCTTTTACCCTAATTGGGATGTTTCTGATGTAATTTTCCTTGGATAATAAAATTTGCTTATCCAAAAAAAAATTTTTTGATAAACTTCATGGATCATTTGTGCCATTAATCCTTTATGTGATCATATAAAATTGTAGTTACTACCTAACTCTAAAAACATGAGAAGTTAAATTCTTTAAATAAAATTAATAATTCAAATTTTAATATAGTAAATGAAATAATAAACGAAGTTATGAAGGTTATCCTCATAATATATTTATGCAAAATCTTATATGAAATAACCGTTGGTCTCTTTATGGTATTCCTTTTATCAAGAGAATAAAATGTTATACTTCTCTTGCATCATTTTTGTAACTCAAAATCTCCGAAGGACTTAGAAGCGTCTTCAAATCTATGGCTTCTCTTGTATCTCGGGAACTTCAAAAAAAACATGAGGAGAGCGCCTTTGGAAGAAGGATACCAATTATCTAACATTTGACAGATTTATGTGATCTATTAGAGTTAAATCTACCGCTACTTGATCATATTTGTCTAGTTTAAAAGCTTGTGAGTAGTCATAATGATTATACTTTTGACACCTACTCTCGGAGTCACTATAAAATATCTTGATAAAGACTGAGAGAAAGAATGGAATAAATTTAACTTTATTCATCTCTTTCCCACATCTTTATGAAGATGGAATATGTTGGTATCAATCAACAACTAGTCCATCACATATTACAACTATTTATCTAAAATAGAAAAGATAAACCACCTATAATTACCCTAACTCATTTATCATCGTAAACAGAATCATATATATTATGACATGTATATGCTTGTATCCCAGTATGAGTCAAATTATATTATAAAGTTTATATCAATAATTGATTGATCAGATTATTATTCGTTTAAACTGATCATCGTTAGTTGACTTTTCACTTTTTTTATTCACTTTATTGTTGGTCTTTCTTTCTCTCTATTTTCGATGTTTCTTTTTTTGGTATTTTAGGGTTTGATTCTTTGTTAGATTTTGACTGTTTAAAAAATTAACTGGTAAGGACAGTCATTGTATAATCATTCATCAAACGGATGTCATTTTTCAGATCGGATAAAAGTACAATCATTCATCAACGGGTATGATACTTATATTTCTATTAAGAATAGCATTCGCCCGGTACAGTGAAATTGTGAATTAACAATATAAATTGAAAGCAAACTATAGCAGAGAAGATATGAATTATGATGCAATAAATACAGCAGAGAAAGATTACAGCATGGAGAATCTACACGGGAAACAGTATATAGAATCAATGAAGAGAATGAAAACAAAAAAATTAATTAATTAACAATTCTGTGATTTTACAAAATACAAAGACATTATATCTATCTCATTACCTTTCAACACAATTTAAACTATGGGATTTGCAACTTTTACACTAATTTTTTCAGGCTAATTACCAATACATATATTGTCTTTTAGGATCGTTAGATAAGTGAAAATAGACGGCTAAGATTAGCTTTTCATTTCTTACTGTTATTCTTAGTCATCTATTTTCACTCGTCCAACAATCTTAAAATGGTTTTGGTTTTACACCATGCGAATGAATCCTTGAGAATGAATCCTGCCATACATTTATTAAGTGTTCTTTAAGCAGTGTTGGAAGCTTCCTTACTTGACCTATTGTACTTCATATGGCTCTTAACTAGTTGCCCAGCTGCCAGTGCGGACATGAGCGACAGTTCTCCCGCAAGGACTGCACCAGCTACGATGGTTGCAAGGAGTCTAGAGTTCGCACCAGGTGACTCTCGGTTCGCACCCTTGACTCCGAGAAGATTCAAGCATGCCGACTGAGATGCAAGCTGAGTTCCACCACCAACAGTGCCGACCTAAAAGATAAATCAGAACTTACATCAGTACCCGGTTTTACTTTGCTAGATAATTTGAATATCAGACGGTGACATGATCAATCACCTCGATGGAAGGCATTGTGACGGAGATGTGAAGGTCCTTGCCATCATTCACAGCTTCCATCATCGTGATGCAATGAGAGCTCTCAACGTTCTGAGCCGGATCTTGACCGGTAGCGATGTAGATTGCAGTCACGATGTTACTAGTGTGTGCATTGAATCCACCCAATGCTCCGGCCATAGCAGATCCAGTAAGGTTCTTAAGCACGTTAAGCTCCACAAGGGATTCAACACTAGTCTTCAAGACTTCCCTCACCACATCACCCTTAATGATGGCCTCACAGACAACAGATTTGCCTCGTCCTTCAATCCAATTCACCGCAGCGGGCTTTTTGTCTGAACAGAAATTTCCTATTTCCATAAGAAATCCACATAATTTAATGGTCTAAGCACAAACAATGAAACGGAAGAAAATTATATAAGTTCATGGAATCGAAACTCGCCAGATATGCCGATGACATCCATGTCAGGGAAATCAGTTTGAAGGAAATCCAAAACGTTTTGGACACCTTTCGAAACCATGTTCATCCCCATCGCATCACCGGTGCTGCAAACAAATCTCAAATAAAGATTCTTCCCAGCAATGGCACATTTTATACCTTGAAGCCTAGCAAATCTACTTGATCTGCAACCATATAAAAAAAACAAAGCTCTCAACTAACCAGTAACATGTTAGTTTAATCAACTCATAACTCGAAAATATCAAAACAAACCTGTTAAAAGCAACAGCCAAGGTCTCAAAATTTAAAGGATCCTCCAAATACAACTTCAAATCAGCTGCTCTTTTGGCGGTACCAAACCTTACAACAGGAGCTCTAGTCATTCCATCTTTCAGTAAAACACTTGAAGCTCCACCAGACAAATGAATAGCCTTACATCCCCTATTAGTGCTAGCTACTAAGCACCCTTCCGTGGTTGCCATAGGAACCGAGTACTCTCTTCCATTAAGCAACAATGGCCCGGCAATTCCTACGGGGATCTGCACGTAACCAATCGGCATCTCACAGCACTGTCCTAAAATTGCATCGTAATCGAATCCATCCAAAGGCAATCCTGACAACGACTTCCCCGTTAATCTAACCAATGCATCACGCCTTATCGCAGCAGCTCTCTTGCAATCGCCTAACTTCGATTCCAAAGAATATGAAGGGATTGTTCCAGCCACAACGGCTTTAACTATTTCTTCGTCTTCCTCGGTTGTAACTCTCACAGGCTTTTCATCGAACACTTTCTGGTCAGATAAAACCGGTGCTGCCGGAGCCGAGCAATCAAGAGCTTGCCCGCAAGGGACTTTGCCGATATCTTCTTTACGAAGCAAAACTCCATTCTCTTCAACGTCCTCTGAAATCCAAACGTCGGTAGAGGGTCGTAGAATCAAAGACTTAACGAAATCAATCCCGAAGAACCCTAAAAGGTAAATAAACGAGGCGATCAAAGCGAAAAGCGCGACGATCTCCGAGGAGGTGACGAGGTGAAGAGGCGTGGAAGTACGGATCTTTTCACGCCACCGTGAAAGGAGAAAATAAACCACCGAGAAAAACAGCGTGAAGAACACTGCATTCGGTAATGCTTCATATGAGGCGTTGGTGGAATCTTCCTCGAAATAAATCTTTTTCGTTTTTGGCTTCGGAGATTGTACGGGTTCGTTCGATGATTGCCGGCGAGCTTCCATTATCGTGTGGTGGTGGGTAAGGCGGTGGTTGCCGAAGCCGGAGGCGGGTGACGGAGAAATGAAAGATGGAATGAAACGAGAAAGGCGGGACGATTCCGTCTGGTTTCGAAAACGGTTTTTTGGGGCAAATTTTTTGGATGAAGAAGCGGGATATAAGGGAAGTGAGTACTTATAAGGTTGTTGGTAGGACACGTGTCGGACAATAAGGGATGTACAGTGAGAGCGCGTGGGGTGACTTGGCACTCTGTTACTCGACTACTTAACAAGAGAAGAGTCAGAATAAATACTAGTTATTTGAGTTCGACTTGATGAAAATTCAGATAATACTCGAATCAAATAGACTCGATTTGAATTCTTAACGAGTCAAAATAAGTTACTTGATACCTGATTCAAAAAAATTTATGAACAACTCGAAAAAATAATATATTAAATTATTCACAATATAAACGTTTATATATTTTTAATATATATTATAATATAAGACTTTCATATACTTGAAGTTTAGGTTCAAATTTGAGTTCGAATTTGAACTTAGCTCGAGTTTAAGCTTCAATCAAGTTAAGATTGAGCATGATTCGAGTTTAAATTTTTTTGAGTTCGAGTCAAACTTTAATTTTTTATTTTGAATCGAGCTTGAAAATTTTAAGCTAATGAACTTTCGAGTCTTGTGGAGTTTTAATTTTTGATTTTGAGTTTGAGTCGAACTTGACAATTTTAAGCTCATGAGTTTTCGAGTTGAGACGAGCTCAGCTTTAGACTTTTTAAGTCAAGTCGAACTCAACAATACTCGAGCTCGACTTGGCACGTCTACAACCTTAATTGAATCTATCAAGTGGTCGAAATGTTATTTTTCTTAAAAAAAAAAATTAGTTCAAACACTTACGTGTGTAAGGTGTATATATTATTACTGACAAAAAGAGATTTAAATTGTTATTACCTTGTAAACATACTAAATCATTAACTTACTTCAAATTCAATGAACCTTACCCCATGGAGTCAAGCTCAATAAAAGAATCACTACTCAACAAGTATAAGACGCGTTTTAATCAAAATGGGTCTCTCATGTTTTGTGAACATGTTATCATACTTAAACAATCTACATTTTTCACCCTCTTAAATATTTTTCACTAAATACTTACTACAACAAACTAATATTAACAACTTAATCTCTAAAAACACTCTAAAAATATAGAGTGCTAAAACAATTTTGTTCAAAAATTGTCTCCGAAAATATTAGTTGGACCAAAAAATAAATTAAATCAATCAATTAATGATATGAAATAGTTTTTCTCTATCACGTAGACGATTGATTTGAAGTTTTTCAAATTAATGGGCTAATAATTACTCATCCACATGTGCTAATTTAATGACTTAGGCTACCTGTTTGTCAAATTTTTTATGATATATATATATATATACAGAGTTGCTTCCTTATATATTATATGCATGGTCAGGCCAACCAAGGAAGAAAATGACCATATCATCTTTTGTTTTCCCATAATAAATAGTCAAATTTGACTGTAAATTAATATTATCATAATTTAAATATTTATCACAATAATTTTCTATTATGAACATTAAAATGATGATGGGTCGGGTTAGGTCAGATTTTCGACCGACCTGATCCGATTTGAAGAGTATATATATCTTTCATCTGGAAAAACTTTCGAGATAATGTTCTGGAAAAAAATTAATTCACGAGATAAAGCACTCCCAAGATTAATTGCTCAAATAAGATGAAATCCACAGTGTTGGTCATAGGTCGCCATGCCTTTCGGGCGACCTACTAGGTCGCCATGTCTTCCCGGCGAGCTACAAGAGATTGCATGTGCCATGCACGTCCCAACACGCTGGGCATCTGAGGCCATCCGAACGAGCTATGCGAGGGCATCCGAGGGCAACCGAGCGAGCTATGCGAGGGCATCCGAGGGAAGCCGAGCGAGGGTAGGTCGCCCGGAGTGCATGGCGACCTACAAGGTCGCCCGGAGGGCATGGCGACCTATGTGTTGGGACGTGCATGTGCCATGCAACACGTTCATTCTCTCTGTTTGAACGTTCATTCTCTCTGTTTGAGCAAGGGTAGGTCGCCCGGAGTGCATGGCGACCTACGGCCAACACTGTGGATTTCACCCTATTTGAGCAATTAATCATGGGAGTGCATTAGCTCGTGAATTAATTTCTTTCAGAACATTATCTCGAAAGTTTTGCCCTTTCATCTGAAACTTAATTTAATTTGAATTTAAAAAGATTTTATTCGACATAAATTTTAAAATAAAATCTCTCGCATGCGAAAATAATAAATGATTGATTAAAATGTACCTAAAAATTGCTTAGCCAAACCCTAATTAATAATTTAGTGTTCCACATAAAATGGTTGGAAGAAAAAGAGTCATTTCTCGATGGGTGGATATGCAATAAAAGCAATATTTGGACCATCTTGAAACTACTTAGTTGTTGGACAACTTTTCACATGATTATATCTAAAAATAAACTAATAGCTATAGAGTTATTATCTAAGGTAAACTACACGTTTAATACCTAAATTATTACTTTTGTTCCATTTTGGTACCCAAACTTTTTTTTCAAAATCATACCTAACATTAGTTTAAGTTTCATTTTGGTACCTCGTTGTTAAAAACTTAACGGTCATGTTGATGTGTCATCATAAGATAATGTCACATCATCATTGAAAAAATTAAAAAATATCACTTCAATTGTTATATTAATTATTTAACGACGGAATACTAAATTAAAACCTAAACTAAAAATTAAGTATGATTTTGAAAATAGATGAAGTGTAGGTATCAAAACAGAATAAAAGTAATTGTTTAGGTACTAAACATATAGTTTACCCTATTGTTTAATACACGAAATGTATTATAAGTTAAAATATATTTTTGATATAATGAAAATTTCTCATTTTTCGTGATTTTTTCATTTAGAGTTTTTCACATAAATTATTAATATGTTTTCATTTTGCGATTTTGTTTATTTACTCTCTTATCTCCCTGGTTTCATAGCATCCCTTCAATAAGATCTTGATTTTGAATTTCATGGACCAAAAAGTAAAGTTGGAAGAGTTTTGTGTCTTGTTTAATGATTGGACCTGACTTAATCTTGGTAATTGTATAAGACAAATGCAGTCAAAATTATTAATGGAAGTTGAAGACCGCTGTTATAATTTTATTATTATCAGTTCTGATACAAATAATACTTTCATTCAACGTTTTCAATCACGTAAAATTAATGAATAATGGAATATTGTGTCAATATACAATCTATTTAGGTTTTTCTTCATAAATTGATAATTCAAATAGATAGATGACCACTTATCACTTAATGGAGAATATTTTCAAAGCAAATGTTCTAATTTTCATAATTTTTTCTGTCAATAAGGTGGTGACATGTGTCATCACAATATGAGGACACATGTTATTAACGGAAGTTAATTATGAGTGACTAAAATAAAAGTTTTTGATAATCGGATGGCTAAAATGAAAAAATAACCTAACTCTGATGACCTGTTTGTAAAAAATCTTTTTGATGACCAAAATGAATTGTTTTTATAGTTAGATGACCAACTGTGTTGTTTATCCAAATTTTTTAAAAAAAGGTTTGATTAATGTTGGATGTTGAAGGAAGTTTGCTAACTGTCACACAAATCATAAATATAATCCTATCTTCTTTGTATTAATTGCACTTTTAATTATTTTGTTCTTCCAATTTTTAGTGCTTTCTAGTATGCAGGCCACATTATTGGGATTTTATTTTATAACTTTTTCTCTTCACTTTTTCTTTGAGGTTTTGTATGAAAATGTTAAATCAATAGGGAAGTAAATGAGACGAGATGGATCTAGAAGTATTTGAGTTCGATTTGATCAAAGTTCGGTTAATACTCGAATTAATTTGATTCGAGTTCGAATTTGACTAGAGTTCTTAAAGAGTCGAAACAAATTATTTCATACTCAACTTGAAAAGCTCGCAAGCAATTTAAAAAAAATAATATATTAAATTTTAATTTCTAAATTAAATTATTGATAATATAAACATATATATATATTTTTTTTAAAAATTTACAATATAAGGTTTTCATGTACTTAAGGTACAAGTATGAGTTCAAGTTTGATCTTCAATCGAGTTAAATCTGAGAAATTTTCAAGTTCAAGTTCTTTTGAGTCGAGCTTCAATTTTTGTTTCTAAATTTGAGTCGAACTTGAAAATGTTAAGCTCGTAAATTTCAAACCGATAGCTCAACTTTAACTTTTCGAGTCTAATAGATCTCAACAATACTAAACTCTACTCGACTTATTTACAACCCTAACATTTGATGTAACACTTGATCAAACACTAATTCAATTGGTATTATGATTGTTATAACAATTCAATAAATTTTTAATTCGATAGTTAATTACTCGTTAAGTTTTTTTAGTCAAGTTTTTTAAAATTATAACCATAATATTTACATTTTAATATAATTAATTTTATAATATATTTTTGAAACAAACCAGAAGGTTTAAACTCTAAATAATATTTAGATGACATTATTTTCAATAAAAATATCATAAATAATATTTAGATGGTGTTATTTTTTTAAATAAATTCAAATTTCTAAAAAATTGAATATTGAAACCAGTAACGGAAGTAATAGAGACTAGTGGGGTCATGGCTTCCAAAAAGTTTAAAAAATATAATCTAGACTTAAAATTTTAAAATATTTAATTTAACCCAGCAAAATTTAGAAATTCATATTAATTTTTAAATTTTTTAAGTACTCTTAATTAAATCCATCCCATAATTTTTTAATCTCAAAATTTTAAAAATTTCATTTATATCGCAATTTTAAAAAAAAATGTAAACTGAACGCTTCAAATTTTTTGAAAATTTTAATTTAAACATTTAAATTTTTTAATATTTAGATTACTCTCAAACTTTATCACCAAGTTACTTTATCACCAAGTTAAGTCATTGAAACACTTACATTATTTAAATATTATCTGACAAATTATTTTTTATTAATAGTGTATCATATAATAATTTATAATTAAATCTTTGGATACTATAATATATTTCCCACTTCTGGTTTCTTTCTTCTTGAAACAACCCAACCATTCTTTACT